TTCGTTACGTTCGTTACGTTACGTTTACGTTACGTTCTTACGTTACGTTACGTTACGTTACGTTACGTACGTTACGTACTCTACGTCGTTCTCTCTCTCTCTCTCTCTCTCTCTCTCTCTCTCTCTCTCTCTCTCTCTCTCTCTCTCTCTCTCTCTCTCTCTCTCTCTCTCTCTCTCTCCAATTACCATTTCCAGCCTTGGTGTTGAACCTGCATTTTATCATGTGACATATACATTCACCATTTATAGTCATACTAGGCCAGTGGTAAAGAGGAAACCACACAAATAATCATCAGTGTGGTTTTTGGTCGCAGATACAAAACTTGGGTTTGGTTTCTCTTTTGAGGTTCCTTTTTCTCTCATGATTGTTCATGTTGTTTCAGAGAGTGGTAATTTAGAACCCAAGATCAAGTTTTGGGACTGAAAATCTTTTCTTTGAAGAATGGTGAACTCGTTCCTCAAAACCCTAGAAAATTGTGGAGATCCCTGAACTGAGAAACTTAGGCATTTGTGTTTCTTATTCAGAGGAGGAGAGAGCAATATCTAAAATCTTTCTGAAACCCTAGGATTTGGGGTGTTGGGTCTCTAAAACGATCCATTTTCCAATAGTAGTGTGGCCATAGATTCTATTTTGAAACTTGGGTTCTGAGTTTACTCCCAAACCAAGATTCTTTGGACCCCAGTTTCTGGGTTTTGGGAAGTGGGTTTGTTGCACTAAGCCCTAGACTCTGTTTTCAAGGTGGGGTGAGGAGGAATTATGCTTGGGGACAATGGTTTATGCCTTCATGGGAAGTGGGTTTATTGGACTAAGGCCTCTGTGTTATCATGGTGGATTTAGGGATACTAGTTTTCTGGAAGTGGGTTCTTTGGCCTAAAGCCTAAACTGTGTTTTCATGGTGGATTGAAAGGGAACTAGGGTCAGGATTTGGGACTTTAGTTGCAGAGGAGAGGGTGGGTAATGTCTGCGAAGCTGCTTCATGCATTATCAGAAGAACACGCAGAGTTGCAAAAACAAATTGGATGCATGACTGGAATTTTTCAGCTTTTTGACAGGCACCACCTTATTACTGGAAAGCGCGTTAATGGCTTCCATCCAAAGAGTTTACCTTCAGGTAATTTTGAAAGAATTCTTCTTTTATCCAATATGAAATTATGTTCACATTTTTTGTTGAGATTCTGAAACTTGTGCTTCATTGATGTTCATTGCTCTCTCTCTCTCTCTACTCTCTCTCTCTACTCTACGTCGTCGGACGTACG